GCCTTCGCTGGAGCTCCCTATGGGGCCACGAAAGTGTGCCGAAATGGGTGCGGTGGGCGCATGGGAGCGCAGCCACTGGGGCCTTCGCTGGAGCTCCCTATGGGGCCACGAAGCGTGTGAGGGGTGTGCCAAAATGGGTGCGGTGGGCGCATGGGAGCGCAGCCACTGGGGCCTTCGGTGGAGCTCCCATGGGGCCACGAAACGTGTGAGGGGTGTGCCGAAGTGGGTGTGGGTGTGCCGATGATGATGGCAGGAGGGAGGGGGCAGCGGGAGGAGGAATGAACGCGGGGCGCTGTCTCTTCAAAACGAGGACCCAACACCACAGGATGGTTGGGAAAAAAGCTCCGGAAAAACTTCTCAGAAGGCCGAAGGACTTCCGAGCCTTCTGAGAAGGCCTTCTCATTCTCACTTCCCCCCGGCTCGCCGCCGACAATTCGCCGGCGCTCGAGCCAAACGGTGTCTTCTGTCTTCGTGCTGTTTTTGTTGTCCCTCGTTCTTTCTTCGTTCCGCCTCTGCTTCAAATCGGAGCCAGAAGGAAAACGGTGCACGAGATCGCCAAACTTCTGCTCAGCTCGAGCCCCGCAGACTGCGTGCGCCTAAGCCCTCGGGGGCCCGCGCAGGCTTCCGAAAGAGTTTGGGGTCCGCGCAGAACTAACTCGGAGGGGCTGTGCAGTTCCCCCCCCCCCGCCTTGTCCAGAGATGGGGATGGGGGCGCTTGGCCATCACTGTGATGCCTCCGCCTTCATCCCTCGCTCACCCACCCCCCTCGCGCACTCACGCTCAACTTCGCGCCGTCAGACCCAGGTCCTTCCTGGTCCTGTGGGGCCACAGCCAGGCCTGCCCGCTCCTCGTTCACTCACAACTCTGAACACTCACAGCCAGACTGGCTCATACTCCGACTCACCCATAAGCAGAACCGCGCACATTCAGGCTCACTCACACACAGACTCACGCACTCAGACCACTCACGCTCTGAAGCACTCATACTCAGCTCAGTCATAACTTACCCACAAGCTGTCACTCACTCTCAGCCCCATTCGCACTCGCTCCTCATGCACCCCAAAGCGGAGCCGCCAGGGGGGGTATGACACTGGCCCTTTCACACCCAGATTGTGGTGGCATTTGTAAAAAAAAAGCCTGTCTTGCACTTCCGACTCCTCTCCAGAGTGTGGGACTGTCTCGAGCGAGGCGTTTGGTTTGCAGCTCCGACCCATCGCCCCAGGATCACCGCGATGTAGCGGGCACCGCACGTGGGCCCCCCCAAAGAAGAGACACAAGGGAGCGCTCAGTCGCTAAAAGTTTCGACTCTCTCACTCAATGCACTCACGGCGGGAAGCAGGAGCTGAGATGCACGCATGGGGACGCCCGCTTCCTCGTGAGCGAAAAACAGATCCGCACCTGTGCAACCACCCTTCGGGTGAGAAGGAGGCTCGGGAAGGGGGGAGGAACCAACGGCTCACTCAACTGATCCCACTATCGATCTCGCCCTTGATATGACGATCAATGCCACCACTAACGATCCCACTATCGATCTCACTATGGATCTCACTATGGATTCCAGTATCGATATCACCATCGATCTCACGATCGGTGTCACCATCACTATCACTACCGATCTCAGTATCGATTTCTCTCGGTCGATCTCACCATCGATCTCACGAAAGATCTCACAATCAATCTCACAATCGGTATCACTATCAATATCACAATCGAGCTCAATACCGATCTCACTATCACTCACACTTTCGATCCCACCATCGACCTCACTACTAACCTCACTATCGACCTTACTTTCAATATCACCGTCGACCTCACAATCGACCACACTATCGATCTTATGCTCGATCTCACGATCGATCTGACTATCGATCTCACTATCGACCTCACTATTGATCTCGCTGCAGTCGGGCCGCTGAGAGAAGGAACGCTGAATAAGGAACGAAGCCCCGTCTTGACCCTGGAAGCGCCTCCGTGCCCCAGGAGGGAAAGAGGAACAGCACTGGAGGAACCTAAGAAACATCGAGCCCCTTCCGAACCCGAAGTGCTCCTTCTTTCAGCGTCTTGACTGTATTGATCTCACTATTGATCTCGCCACGGGCCACCGACGGGACAACCGCGGGACAACCGCGGGCCACCGCCAGGCAACCCCGTGGAGGCGGTCTTTTGGCCCGGCGGCGCCCTAGCCAGAGGAGGGTTCATTCCTCTCGCCCGCCCACGCAGCTTCGCCTCGCCCGCACGCCGCGTCACGAGCAGGAAACCGAAACCAATTTCCCGGTGGGGAGCTCTCCGCTTCACTGCGATCACGCCCCCTTGCCTCCGATCCGCGGCCTCGCAAGCAGGGCCCCTGGATCAGATGGGGCGTTTTTGTCCGCAGATGCCCCGCGCGGCACTCCTCCGTGCGACCGCGGTTCCAGGGATCGCGCGGCATGGAGGAAGCTCGGGTCCGTGCGGGGCACGATCCCCTGAGATCCTGGGATGGGGGACGCATGTGAACGCTCTCGCTGGGGAACGGCCGTAAGTGCGAATGCCCTGCGGGGCACGATCCGCGTGAACGCCGTGCGAACGCACCCGCCGTGGCCAGGGTTGGAGCCCATGGAGCGCATCGTGAGGCGCGACCTGCGCGGTGCCGCTTGGCGGACCCTCCCTCTGGGGGCCGTGGACGGAGCTTCCTGTGGGGGCACGCTCCGTGTGAGGGCTGTGCCGCAGCGGGGGCGGCACCGCCACGCGGGCGGTGCCCACGGAGGCCGCATGTGGAGCTCCCTGGGAGGCACGACACGCGTGAGAGACCTGGCCGTGGCACCGCCCTGCGTTCGGAGCGCGCACGGAGGCCGCAGCTGGAGCTCTCTCTGCGCGGCACGGAGCGCGCGAGCGGTGCGCCGGAGCAGGGCCGGTGCTGCCAGGAGCGCGGTGCCCATGGAGGCCGCAGGCGGAGCTGTCGGGCCGCGATCCTCGGGAGGGGCGCGCCGAGTGGGGCGCGGCACCGCCATGCGCTCGACTGGCCGAAGCCGGAGCTCGGGCGTGCCGAAGGGGGCGCAGCGCCGCCGTGCGGTCGCCCACCGAGACTGTAGCTGGTGGGCTCTGGGTGGGGCCACGATTCTCGTGAAGGTGAGGGGTGTGCCGAACGTGGTCGCGGCGCGGTGGCGGAGGAAGGGGGGGCGGCAGGAGGAGGGTAGGAGGTGGAGGAGGCGGATGAGGAGGAGAGTTGTTGCGTTCGCGCGGCGCTCCGGATCCAAAGCGAGGGCCCAACAAAGCAGGAGGGTTGAGAAAAGCAGGCAGAAGATCATGAGGAGGACGGCGAGCGGGGAGGAGGACGAGGAGAAGGAAAGGTGTATTCGAAAGCCTCTGGAGGCTTTCGGAGGCCCCTGGAGGCCTCTCAGAGCGCCAGGTACGCTTGTGACCCCGAAGGGGGGAGGGGGAGGCGGAGGAGGAGAGGAGGAGAGGAGGACGAGGAGGAAGAGAAGGAAGAGGAGGATGGGAGGAGGATCAGCAGCAGCAGCAGGAGGAGAGAAGCGAAGAAACGAACCAGCCTCGGAGCCCCGCTGAGTCGACCACGCACAAGCCCTCGCGTCGCTCGTCTGGCTGTCTGATCATGTGCACTTCGCGTCGAGGCCTGCTGCCGCCATCGAGCACTCGGGCCCGACCGCACACATCGCCCCCCCCCCACACACACGCAGAGGCAGAGGGCTCTGGGCGGCGTGGGCACTCGCCAAACAGTTTGACGGCTACCTCTGATGAGTAGCAGGCCGCGTGCGGGCTATGTCCGGCTACACGCAAGGAGTGATCCTGGGCAAGCGCGGCCCCTGGCGTGCGACTCCCAGGGGTCGCGGGGCGAGCGCGCAAGGCGCTGCTACTGCACAGCGCGCAGCCATCTGGGGACGCCAGTGTGCCCGCACCAAGAGCCTGTTCTCTTAGACTCCGGCGGCAAGTTTACTTTCACGGACGGGGCGGGGGGGCCTGAATTCGAAGCAAGCCGCAAACGACTTGCACATGCGGAAATCACGGAAGTCGAAAGGCACGTGAACGCTAGTATTCCTTTGAAGGAAGGGCGAGAAGGTGGGTGGAGGGTCGAACGCCATGCAAAGAACCTTGCCTGAATCTGAACAAAAAAACAAGCTCCAAGGATCACTCCGGCGAAAGGTCACCCGTACGCTTACGTGTAGCCGATATTTCCGACCCGCTCCCGCCCCGCGCCAACGCCGAGCCAGACCGCGGCGCCGACGCCGAGCCCAATGGGCGCGCCGACGCCGAGCCCGAAGTGGCGCCGACGCCGAGCCCGGCGGGGGTGCCGACAGGCGCTCTTGCCGTTGTCGACGCCGTCGCCAGCGGGGGGGGGAGGCAGGCAGGGAGGGAGGGAGGGAGGGAAGGAGGGGAGGGAGGGGAGGAAGAGGAGGAGGAGGAGGAGGAGGAGGAGGAGGAGGAGGAGGACGAGGAGGAGGGGGAGGAGGAGGAGGAAGAGGATCAGGAGGAGGAGGAGGAAAAGGAGGCGCTGGAGGAGGAGGAGGAGGAAAAGGAGGAGGAGGAAGAGGATCCTGCTCATCCCCCACCTCCTCCTCCTCCTCCTGCTCCTCCTCCCCCTCCTCACGCAACTCCGCTTTTCCGATTGCGCATAGCACGATTTTGCCATCCTTGGGAGCTCTACGTCCGCTATGACACCCATCGGCGGCTATAGGAGAAATCAACGCCATGGTAAGGGATGGGTAAGAGGGGTATGTCGACAGACATGGCGCGAGCGCATCTAGCTTGCCCTCTCCTCTCCCCTCTCTGTGGAGTCCTAGGGAACAAAAAAGGCGGTAACCATGAACTGTCGGAGCTCCGCGCGGATTCTTGTTCGATCTGCACTGGGCCCCCCTCCCTGGCGCACGGAGCGCGCCAGGGGCGGCGCCAGAGGCGCCACCAGGGGAGGCCCAGCGCTGATCCAGGAAAACAGCGCGCAGCTCCGGAAGTATGTTCATGCAGCTCCTTCTTCGGCGGCTCTCCCTCCTGCCCCTGCCGCGCCCCTCCTCGCAGAATATCCCGGGCCTCCTCGGTGTGGTTCGCCACCACCGTGCCGGCCGTCGTCAGCCCTCGGGAGACGCTCTTGGACCTCGGGCGGGCGCGGGCGCGCCGATGGGGGGGGACTCTCCTCTCATCCTCCTGTACTTTCCCTCCTCACCCTGATGACCTCCCCCTCCTCCTCCTCCTCCTCCTTCTCCTCCTCCTCCTCCTCCTCCTCCTCCTCCTCATCATCATCATCATCATCGTCGTCGTCATCATCATCATCATCACCATCACCATCACCTTCATCATTACCATCAGCATCATCATCAGCATGATCATGATCATGATAACCTTGGTGGTGGTTATGGTGATGATCGTCATCACCAGCATCAACGACATCGTCATCAGCATCATCATCATACTCAGCATCATTCCCATCCCCATCCCCATCATCATCCTCCTCATCACCATCATCATCAATATCGTCGTCATCATCACCATCATCAACATCAGCATCAACATCAGCACCAACCGCACCATCACTACCATCACCATCACCATCGTCATCATCATCATCATGATCAGCAGCAACAGCACCATCATTATCGACAAAAGCATCATCAACATCATCATCATCATCATCATCATCATCATCATCATCCTCCTCCTCAACATCATCATCATCATCATCATCATCATCATCATCATCATCATCATCATCATCATCATCATCATCAGCATCATCATCATCATCATCATCATCATCATCATCATCATCATCAACATTATGATCCTCCCCTTATCCTCATTAATCCCACCAGCCCTTTGGGCGTGAGTGGTTTAGAGAGCCCGCTCTGTCCTCAACCCCCCTTCTTCCCCTTCGGGGAGGGGCTTACCCCTCCCCCTACCCCCTCCCCCTGGACCTGGAGAGAGGGTTTCGCGGGTCGTTGGAAGGGTCTTTTACGACTCCTGGGAGGGCTAAAAAAACGACGACCCTCACGAGCATTCTGGCCCCGACGGGGGGACGGAGATAAGTCCCTCTCCTCTTCTTTGAAGCCGTAATCCTTGATTTTACTACGGTTTTGGCCCCATTTTGGCCTCCTGAGGGGGCCGCGCTCATCTTCCGTCATAGCAAAATCACTGATTTTACAAAGGTTTTGGGCTCATTTTGTCCTTCTCAGGAAGCAGCGCTTATTTGCGCTTCTGAGGAGGTCGCAAGAGGCCCCAAGATGGCCCCAAGAGGCCCCCAGGAGCATCCCAAGAGGCCTCCAAGAGGCCCCAAGAGGCCCCCAAGAGGCCCCAAGAGGCCCCCAAGAGGCCCCCAAGAGGCCCCCAAGAGGCCCCCAGAGGCCCCACGAGGCCCCCAAGAGGCTCCCAAGAGGCCCCCAAGAGGCCCCCAAGAGGCCCCAAGAGGCTCCAAGAGGCCCCCAAGAGGCCCCACGAGGAGCCCGAACGACTCACACCAGGACGAGGGGCCCGAACGACTCACACCACGAAGAGCCCGAACGACTCACACCACAAGGAGGGGCCCGAACGACTCACACCAGGACGAGGCGCCCGAACGACTCACACCACGAGGAGGACCCGAACGACTCACACCAGGAGGACCCGAACGAGGCCCGAACGACCCGAACGACTCACACCACGAAGAGCCCGAACGACTCGACTCACACCAGGAAGAAGGGCCCGAACGACTCACACCAGGACGAGAAACCCCAAACGACTCAAATCACGAGGAGCGCTTTCTCTCCCTCCTCCTCCGCCTCGTCCTTCTCCCGCTCCCCCCACAAGGAGGATGTACAAGGAGGCGGGAGGACGGAGGAACAGGGGAGATATGCGGGGCCAAGCGGACACACGCCTGAAAAACACGACTGTCGGCATGCTTCGCAAGAGTTGCTGCTGTGAGATGGGCTGATGGGGATACGCGAAGCGCAAAGAATTATTTGTTTGCGAGGTGTGGACTGAAATCTAGGTCGGCTTCCAAGCTGTGTGAGCGATCGGTGCATTCATAGTGCCGGTAATGATGCCGCTGGTGATGACGGATGGTTCATCATTATGATGGTGATTATAGTCCTCCGCCGACCTTCATTTCAGTGTGAGTCCTCCCCTCCGAAAATCGTTGCCCGCGATCTTGGGCGTTCTTGGTCTTTTGGGAGCTCTGCTGCCTCTGGGAGCCTCCAGGAGCCTTCGAGAGCCTCTGGGGACCGACAATTATCATCCTCACGTTCTATATCTCGCGTTTTTCGCGGGCGAAGAAAATGTGTGTTCTCCCGACCGTGGCCGAGGGAGAAAGAAACAGACCCAAGGCTTCGCAAGCAATCATAAAAACGCAACCATGGGAGGTTGGGGGGTGAGATCGCAGTAGAACGGAGACCCCCCCCTTGGGAAATCGGTTTCGGTTTCGTGCTGGTGTCGTGACGTGGGGGCGAGGCGAAGCTGCGCGGGCGCGGGAGAGGCATGAACTCGCCGTCGCTGAGGTGCCTCGGATGCAAAAGGACCGCCCCTCCGCCCACGGGGGGCGCGCGGTGGCCGAGAGGGGCATGCCGTGGTGTCCTGTGGTGTCCCGTTGGTGTTCCGTCGGTGTCCCGTCGGCGGAGGGTGGGCGGTGGCCGAAGTGTCCCGCCTTGGTATCGATGGTGAAGTCGATCGAGCATGGACTCGCTAGAATGACATGGATCGTGAGATCGATAGTGAGATCGACAGTGAAGTCGTCTGTGGCATCGGTTATGCTCGCGCTGTCGGATGTGCAGGGAGGCGACGTCCCCTGGGTCGTGCAGATCTCGCGGGGAACAGGCGATCTCCCTGGGGCGAGCACCATGGGATCGATCGCTGAATCCGTTGGTAGGTAGACTGGCCGTGAGGTCGATAGTGGGAAAGACCCATTGAGATCGGACGCGTGGACGATAGTGACACTACATCGCAGCGCAACATCGTCATCACGCGTCGTCGCTAACTCGAGGGCGCCTCAAAAGCATCGTCATCATCACACCAATCGCATTTGCAAGCAGCTGGTTCTTTCAAGGGTGGTCGTATGGGTAACTTTGCTGGTGCGCTCCTCCGCCAGCGTCAGGAACTTCGCTTCGGGCCACTCTCCATGGCAACGGCTGAACGGATTTCCGAAAGCGGGCCAAGATTCGGGGATCTACTGACCCTGGTCAGGGTCAGTCAGGCCTTGCAATATCCTGCAAGATTCTGCACCAAACCAGGGTCAGCGCACCCCCTGGCCATACAGGATCCTGCAAGATCTGGTGTTTTGATGACTGTCCCCGGTTTGTATTGACCCCCGTCTCTTGATCCCGAAGGATGGTGCCCCGGAGGGGTCCGTGGCCCCATTCTGAGCGGGCGCTCGTTGGGAGGGCCCTGGCCTCGGGGCGTCGTGAACCAAACATGCGATGGGGATGATTTGTCCAATCTCGAGACCCCTGGTCGACGAGGCTCGAAAAAACCTCCTCCTCCTCCCTCCCCCCTCCCTCCCTCCTCCTCCTCCCCCTACCTCCTCCTCCTCCTCCTCCTCCTCCTCCTCCTCCTCCTCCTCCTCCTCCCCCTCCTCCTCTTCCCCCTCCCCCACTCCTCCTCCTCCTCCTCCTCCTCCTCCTCCTCCTCCTCCTCCTCCTCCTCCTCCGCCTCCTCCGCCTCCTCCCCCTGAACATCGCCGGGGACGTGGAAGAGGGGGCATACCGCTTCACGGCGCCGCGCCCGCGCGTCTGCCCCATCGCGGGCCCACACCGCGCCCGCCCAGCGCGCGCACAGCAACAGCGCGACCCCATGTTAGCGACATGAGTTCTCGGACGCCTCATAAAAGAAGCAAAAACGCCATGAAGATAAACTTTTGGCGCTCCGCGCGGATTTCTTGGACCTGCGCTGGAACCCCCTCCCCGGCGCGCGGAGCGCGCCAGGGGAGGCGCCCGAGGCGGCGCCGGAGGCGCCGCCGTGGGGGCCCAGAGCGGATCCAAGACACCCGCGTAGAGCGCCAAAAGTGTATGTTGATGGCATTTTTCTTCTTCGAACGCAGCCGAGCATGGAGCAAAACGCGTAACTACCCGCCGGACGCGGGACATGCCGCTGTGTCCTTGGCGGCCGCACGTCTGTGCTGCTTGCTCGCGACAGCCCTCGTGAGCTGCGCACATCACGAAATGGGTCCAAATATTATGCAGGGGCTCGACTCCCCATTTTCTTCATTATGCCTGGGGCCATGGAAATGAACCACAGGCGGGCATGCCGAGGGGTGAGCGACGCCCACGGCGCGAACACGGAGAAGACAACGGCCTGACCCGTGCAGAACCTTTGCGCTCCGCGCGACCCTCCTGCAGTGCAAGACCAGACAAGAAGAGGCGAGGGGAACAGTCTTCTGCGGATAACAGGGATGCTGCGCCCGCTGCTTGCCTCTTTGCTCGCGTAGAGCAAGACCAGATATTTCCGAGTCCCTATATTCCGTGGGCACTTTGGGCACGCGTTCCTGGGATACCGAAGCCCGGACACCCCGTGCAACATGCTCCCCGAGGGGCCCAAACGCTCTAGACTCTAGACAACGTGGGAGGTGTGAGCCGTCCCTACAACATTCCGCAAAGCGTCTGGGGGTAAGGGTGTTACGCGCCCCCTTCAAACACCCACGCACACACACACACACACACACACACACCCTCACACGCACCCTCACACACACAGACACATCGACCAGAGGCACAGCCTCAATACAGATGGCGTGCCCGTTGGGGGTCGACTGCCGCTTCCACTTTGGGGCCGCTGGGGGCCTGGGTCGGCTTGGCGACTGCTGCGCTCCCCATCCTTGAGCACCCCCAGCGCCAAACCTCTCCCGCCACGTGACCACACATTCGTTACCCGAGACGCAAGAGATCTGCAACACTCTTGAACGCTTCGCCAAAGGACGCCGGACCGCACTCAATGCCCCCCGTTCACCGACGCACCCTCGCAGCTCAGATCGCGACCTCGACCCCGACCTCTCCGAGTGCCCGTTCGCCTGGCGCGTCGCGGGAAGCCGAAAAAGGGGAGGAGGACACGCGACCCACCAGCGTGGGGGGGCCTCCTCCCGCGTGCTGGGCTTTCTGCACCCCGCTGCTCGGCCCCCGGAGCCCCCTCCAAACCAGT